ACTTTGACGAGCCCTGTGCATATAATAAGATACATGATAAAATTCTAATTTTTCTGGTGCTTTATGTGGATGACAATCTACTAATTGGAAATGATGTGGGATTGTTATTGTCTACGAAAGCATGGTTGGTCGAGCAGTTTCAAATGAAGGACTTAGGAAGCTGCTATATTCTAAGTATTCAGATATTAGGAGATTGAAGGAACAATCTAATAGCTTTATCTCAAGCTTTATGTATTGACATAATACTTGTTAAGTTTTCCATGCAAGATTCTAAAAAAGGGTAATCTACTCTTTAGACATGGACTCAAGCCTTCTAAGGATCAGTCTTCTAAGACTCCTTAAGAGATGGAGAGCACGAGTAGGATACATTATGCATCGGTAGTTGGTAGTCTCATGTATGCTATGTTGTACAATAGACTCGAAATTTCTTATGTTGTTGGTATGGTGAGTCGATATCAATTTAATTTTGAACTAAAATATTGGGTGGCTGTAAAGCATATCGTTAAGTACATTCGAAGGGCAATGAATCATATACAATTTTACCCATCACCAGATCTTGCTCCAGTGGGTTATACAGATTCAGACTCCCACGCTGATAAAGACTATAGCAAGTCTACATCAGGATCGCTGTTTACAGTTGGTGGTGGGACAATTATCTGGAAAAGTATCAAACATTCATATAATGATGATTCCATAGTTATTATATCCGACCTGGACACTGACTTGGTCAAGGTACTGGGTCATCAGGTTAATGGTTGAATAGGTGAATCGGTGGTCAGACCGGTGGGTCATTACTTAAAAATTATATAAAAAATTTAAAGAATAATTTATTTATTTATTTCATGAGACAATTAAATTTTTCCAGTTATTTATTACAAATTATTTTTATAACTTTAAATTAATATTTTTGAACTCATTTATTAGTGATAATGGTAACATTTTGATTTTATAAATTTGTATATTATATTTTCCCTTTTGTGATGTACTAACAATTTATTAGTTAT